ATATATGTGTCAAGATGTTGAACATGGGAGTGTTACCAACTGTCAAAATAATACCGACTTTAAAGAAAACAACTGATGGCCACCCTATAGAAACGTTTGTGAAGCTTGATGGGCAAGAAAATATTACCTGAAAAGAGAGAAAAGCTAATCTTCCCATCATTGCGGTGAAACGGTTTACGATTAGCAGAATAAGAGGATTCATTTAGCTAGAAATGGAGCAAACCAAACACAATCAATAAAATACAAAGCAATAAAACGGTGAACAGTTAGCCAAAACTTTAGATACCTTAAGATTAATACATTTTCATGAAAGAGAACATCAATCAAGAGAACAAAACGCACACTATACAAGAACAAACCATTAAGTAGCTCTTTCTTGAATCTATGATCGAGTTGAACATTCTTTGAGGTATCTAGGCAATTAGTGAATCAATAATAAATACCATTGTGAGATAGAGCACGATATGGATAAAAAATGAAATGTTATTTATCATTGCATTTACAGGTGTCAAACGGTTACATCTCAGTATTACTCCCATTGCACTGTATTTTTTACGGCTCAGGTACCTGAGTGACATTGAATAAGTAATTAGGTGCTGTACAATAGTCGAAATGTGGCTGAATTATGGTTTTGTAGACTGTATCGTTTTACAGATATATTTAAAATTTTCATCAAAGGCTAAACAGTCCAACTGAATTCCTAAATACTTGACAATTTCATATTTGCCATAGTTAATGTAAATATTAGCATCAGATATATTAATGGTACTATATTTAGTTGTTCTGATCATAGCTGTTGTTTTAGCCAAATTAAGATTGAGCGTACAAATTTCATAGAGTTATAGACCTTATCCAAAACAATATTACCAGTATTCATCTTGTTAATAGTTGTTCCTAGATAATTGTCAGAAAGGTAAATGAATTAACATTCAACTGTGAGGTGCATATCATTGTGGTATAAAATAAACCGAACAAGTAGTACTCCGATTTTATATTCAATTATACTAGACACTAAATTAATAGTGTTACCATTTGTTAGACACATCAAGTAACATGTGGGTATAGTTACTTTCGTAACCTCTTTATTTATTTTAAGTAATGAGAAACACCTTTTTAAATTCCCCCATAGCATTATGATTGATCGCACTTTAAGGCATGTCTGGATACGTTGGATAGCCACAAAAAAACTATACAGATCATTCCTGACAAAGATAAATGTGTGAAACAGGTGCGCACTACAGATTAAAATTTGTTCAGGCGTGTTTTATGTCTCGATCGTTCAAGGCTTGATGGTCTTATCTGGGTAATGAAAAAATGAGTAACCGGTATTCTCTCACGTGTAAACACAAGATGTTTCATACACAGATGGTTCAAGGTTATTCTTAAACTTAATATAGAAAGTAGAGGGGTCACAGAAAGAACATCAGATTGTCGAAAGAGGAAGTACCCAGGACTCATATCAAAGTCTAGTCTTCAGCTTGAGACAAGAATGAGTCAGTCACGTGGATCGCTTATATAAGGGAATGCACAGATTGACGTCTTAGTGATAGATACCGTAAGGGGGACCTCTCACCGAATTTAGTTATAAAACGCTGAAACCATTGCAGACAAGTTCCGACAGTTTGGTGTTGCTGTCAGATGCAACATGTTTGAGTTCAGGCGGAGAATTATTCTTTATTCTTTCGAACTTACCTATCCGATAAAGGTTATTTGCCGTCCATTTGATGCGGATCAAAATAAAAAAAATCAAAAGCAGTAATTTATGGCGTGGGATCTCTTGGATCTCTTATAAATAAGTCTTTAATCAGATTTTTAAAACTGTCATAGGGAAGAGCTTTTACCGCTGATGATAAGCTTTTATAAAATTTCCTTCTCAGCCTAAGATACCCGGGATTGCGCATGTCCTTATTTCTGGTATCATACGGATGAATTTGCTGATGTGTTTCAAACTCAGACAGCTTCATTTTAAAATACATCAAACTCTGCATATACAGGGTGGCCAATATAGAACTTGCTTAAGTTGCGCGCCATATTTGATACACGCATTTCAGTAGACGGCGCGGTGCCGTAGTAGTTGTCTGAAGCACATGGAGCGCTATAGGATCCCACAACGCGTCAAGCAACGACAAGATTTAGGTCGAAATAATGTGACTAGTGTGTCGTCAGTTGGTGCAAAAATCAAAACAAACAGGTGAAGTTAAAGACTTGCCAAGATCGGGCCGTGTTCGAACTGTTCGTAAATATCAAGAGAGTATGTGCAAGGGTAGTGGAACGCCCTGAGACCTCTACCAGACATCGTTCTCAAAAACTGGGTATTCGTCGCACGTCATTGTGCACTATTTTAAAAAAAGACTTGCATTTACGGCCATACAAAATTCAGTTACCTAACCCAAGAATTACAGCCTAGTAACCATGAAAATTGCCGATAATACAGTTATGCAATATTGCAGCTTAAAACCCAAAAAAATAATGATTTTTACCGACAACTGATAATGAGCGATGAAGCCCACTTCGATATGAACGGATTTGTTAATAAGCATAATTGTCATATCTGGGCATTAGAGAACCCCCCTGTCGTTCATTAACGACCACTACATCCTCGTCGAGTCACAGTTTCGTGCGGTGTTTGGTATGGAGGTGTCAATGGACCTTACTTCTTTGAAGAAGCTGCAGATAATTCTCTTACTGTCACTGGCGAGCGCTACCGTGATATGGTGCAAATCTTTATGGCTCCTCAAATCCAATTACTTGAATGGCTTTTCTCTGGAGTCCAAACCGACGACTTGCTGACGGAGCGTGTTCCCTTTACCAACACGGCATAAGTTAGGAGGGAAATGGAATACCGTAAATAAGTGCACTTTTGGAAACGCTATTTTTTAATTTTCCTAACAAAAAAAGTAGAAGAAACAGTTGTATCGCCCGCAAAAGCATGTATCTATAATTTGGGTCTATAAGTGGAAGTTCAGTTATATATATATATACATCAGGAAGAGAATGGGGCCTAAAACTGACCCTTGGGGACACCATACTCCACCCTCTTTTTTGCTGATGACATCCCAGTAACTTTGACTATTTATGGTCTGTCTTGGAGGAACGATTTCAGGAAATGGATGCTGAATTACTGGAGTATATACAGTGCCCTTCCAAAAGGTACATTCCTACTTATTCTTTGAATGGGTCAAGTTAGCAAACTAAAATTCCGGGTCTGAAATAGTTGCAGCGTGAATAGAACATATGATCAGGAGTCGTATAACATATCATTTTGGAGCTCCCCATCAGTACTTTATGACCCCAAAATATAAATTCATTATCTTACAAAATGGGGAACTGTCGGTGGAATTGTCAGTTTTAAATGGAATATTGCATTTTATTACATATTCTGATACATCCTTCCAAGAGAAGAATATTAATATGCTATTTATTGCATTTTCATGGTTGCTGTTGTGTTTTAAGCAATTCAATCAACAAAATGCTCAATTTTGACAGATTGCCAATACGCTATTTTTAAAAATAGCAATCTTATGTTTTAGGTTTATAAAGCACTAGTAAGGATCTTTAAAACGAGACATGACTCCTAGTTCTATTTGGAAAAGTGTTACAAGTTGGCGACCAGCGATCATTTCGAAATTTTCGATTGCCATTTTTACACTAAAATATAGGATCCATACACCAGTGGCATCACTGTGCAGGCCAGCTAGCTCACTTGAACCATTTAAAGAATGGGTGGGGAACCTTTTTAAAAAATTGAGTATGTCTGCATGCTAATGATTCTAAGATTCGTTCATTGCGACCCTATAAATGCGTATCTTAAACCTTTTTCCAGTCCAAATACTCCCTTAATGCTACATGTAACTCCCATATCCCGCCACTGGTCCTCCGATCTCACCTACAATCGCATCACCCTTCAATTAAGACGGACTATACGGGTGGATTCATTCTTTTGTACCTTGTAAATTGAACGGTCTTTATGAGCGCTGATTGCCTGTATACCTAGAATGCTGGCATCCTGTGGGCCTGCCGCTGGGGAGACCTGAGAAGAATGATTATTCGATGTTTGATTACTACTGCAGCAGCAAATGGAGAAATCTCCACCCTGCCTTTTAGATCGATGATTAGATAAATTAAGATCATTGTACCCCCGCTTGGGATGTTGAGATTTTCCCAGTCAAGGAGCTAAGGTGCTGGACTGGCTGGATCTAATACGCCAGGTAGCAACTGTTGGACTATTATTGACGAAATTTGGGCATTTATTTGATGCAGGCATCATCGACGCAAATCACATCTTGGTCAAAACCAACTTCAGCAGGCTAGTGCGTAGAAGCAGTGCGTTGATTGATCGCGGTTGTCAAGGACTGTGTCAAGGGGAAGGAGTGCCTTCCAGCAAAATCGGCTGCGAAGCAGCTACAAGGTAGCTACAAAAAAAGCTGGAGGAGTGTGAATGGTGGTTCTCCGCAATGCCTTCCCACGCTCAAGGCTAAAATCCCATTAGAAAATGGACGAGGTAGCAGCCAAACCAACACAACTGAACGTAGGGTGCAAAGTAAAGGATGCCACTTCATAAGCTGGTGTTTGAGGCGTTAATATCCCAGAATCTGGAAATTATTACAAACGAAATGACCCTCGGACAACCAAAACCTCAACGGAAGGAAAAATGGCTCAGGACCCGTCTGTACACGCAACTTTTTAAAACAAGGTATCTTGGTAGGTATAGGACATATCTTGATAGTAAAGCACGGCTGGTACGTGCAGAAGTCACAAGGTGGCGCTGGTTGCCTATGGACGGAACCAATTCTACGAGGGACCAACGATATTTTATGAGGGAAGTTTTAATAATACTATAACATTAGTGTCCAAAAGATTTCAACACAATACTGAGTCGCTGAGAAAGAAATATGTACGATGGATGTCTTTTAAGTTTTGCATATGGAAATAAAACAACACGGTAGGTGGTTTTAAATGACTTTATTATTTTTTGAAGTATTCTCCTCCAAGATTAATACACATCTGCATGCGCTCGAGCCAATTTTCGAAGCACTTATTCCACTCGTTTGCTAGCAGATCCAAAACGGCATTTTTGATTGCGTCAACTGCTTCTTCTGGTGACTGGAACCTTTGACCCCGCAGTCTGTTTTTAAATTTCGGAAAGTAAAGAAATCGTTAGGACTTAGATCGGGACTATATGGAGGATGGTCTAATAATTCCACGTTTTCTTCCGTTAAATACTGTTTTGTTTTTTGGGCTGTGTGCGAGCTTGCATTGTCTTGGTGGAGGATGATTCTTCTTTCGGGGTTAATTTTTCGAAGCTCGGTGATGACTTTTGGCAAACAAATGGTGGTATACCGATCTAATTGATTAAAGCTTAGAGGTGCATGCTAGAAATTTCAAACTGCACTAAGTATCTGGCAATGGAAGGACGTCATTTGTAATATCATTCTAAAGGAAATTAAAAAAAAATGGAATTTATACATTACGGAATTTGAGATTCTATTTTATACGCCTTAGCTATACCTGCCAAAGTAATCATTATCAAAATTTCATAGTCCCTGATTTTTACCTGTATTGGGGACGTGCACAGAGAACCTTTCAGGTTTTATTTAAGTATGGTATGGTCGTCGCGGACTCTAGGTCTATAATGTCACGCAGTTTCAATCTTTAGCTCACTGCCTACTCTCAGCGGTGGCTGATTTTAGTGAACGGAGTAGGTCCTGTCGTATTATCTCCATACTCACCATACTTAGAGGTTATTTTGCTCTACTTTCGTTCGTCATTCTCTGGGGCATGCTGATGATTCCTGATAACGATGAAATGATTCCGGACAGGTTAGTCAAGCAGATGAAAGCAGCAACCGTTTTACTTTCCGCGCCACTCACGATATGAAGTATTGCGATGGCAAAATAAATAGGAATTGAGAGATAAGTATGTTTTGCATGTTATAAACATCAATATCACGAAAGACCATGTATTTCCGTAGATCCGTCTGTCCATCATTCCTTGGACCGTCAATAATTTGAAAATGGGAATGAGGACGAAAAAGCTTTTAGTTTTTGAAAATAGTTCCAGTAGCGGCAGAGCTAGAGGAAAAAACGAAAAAACAAAAGTCAACCTGATCAGTATAAAAAAGGTGTTAAGTATTAGGAGTTGAAGGTTGTAGAGGATGCGGGAGAGTATTTTTAAATTTTTTTAGCATTTGTATATTTAAAACTCTGCGACACCAGTAATTCTACCCACCTATTAGAGCCGTATCGTCAGTGGTTCCTACAATTGTAGGACTCCTTTATGGACTTGATTTTCATAGTATTTTCTCTCCTTCAGAAACGCTCTTCTTAGATTTCTACTGTTCCGAGTCAGCGTCAGCTCTCTCCTAATTATGTTTTCTCTTTGAATAGTAAGAAATTTCAGGCTGATAACACAGATGATAAAAATCAACTCATCAACAACTTGAGGCAAATAGATATTCGTAAAATAACCTCAGAATAGAAAGACAGGAAAAACTATGAAAATCAAACCATAAGCACGTCCTGCAATTGTAGGAACGATTGATTTTGACACATTTCAGATATGATAGACATTTGTCTTATAACTCAAATTATAAGAAATATTTTCAACACACGCGTATGCGACTGAACATAGCAACGTTTCAATGTGTCGGTAAGGCAAAGGAGACATTTCTAGATCGCATCGTTCTCAAACAAATGGGGAATATGAACTAATTGTAAAGCTTATTTTTTTGTTATGTTTTTTTTTCTCTAAGGAACTAACATGTGCCGAACATGATCCTTTATTAACTTGCAGAGTCTATCTACTTGACGTCACTTTTAAAAAAGCTGTATATAGGTATGTGACGCTTCGCAGGAATAGCAATACATCATGTTGCTGCTGTACCAAGATCGTGACCCGAAATCCAAGGGCTATTCAGTAAACACCAATAACTCCTACACGCGCTGAATATCCATGCAAATTCGATAATCTGCTGCATTTATGGTGGTTTCTGAAAGGAAAATATATTCAACGTACCCGTCGGTTGCGAGTTGCGACCGTGCGCATATCTCGTACCTCGAACGCCATCGTAAAATAAAAATCCTCTACATGGTAAGTGAGGAAGTTGTATGTGCTGAACGAGGAATAAAATGGACTTTTTACTAACTGAAATATGTTTAATATATCCGCGGTTACTTTTTATGTACACCTACGAGCTCTATTTCACTGGAGTTCGAGATGAAATATTCATGGAGTTGCTACACGTAGGCACGTATACTTGTTCGATCCGAGTTTCTATAAGATGGCGATTTTGGCGATGGGAGGAATTGAGATATCAAATCCGGATGAATCAAATGTACGATGTACAAGTAAACAGAATATTTTGTAAAACCTTGCGCACCTAGCGAAGCCGCTGGAAGAAATACTTAGATGAGAAGTTAGCAGATTCTAACACTCCAACTCAATGAACTTCCATATTCATTGTTTTGCTCTGCTACTGTCTCACAGTTAGTACCTTTCAGATCCGTTTTTGGATGCTGGAATACAATATATCCTTGACTATCTTCAGGCGTATCAATCAACGCAGGGGGCCAGAATGTGGCAGGAAACTGTTTCTTTTAACACAGATTACTTAGTTCACGTTATTATCACATTATAGGACCAGTAGAATTACTCTGGCTATGAGCTGCGCTGACATGCTTAATTACATTATGAATCAAACATGTTCTGTATGTGGATGACTGTTTTGAGTCCGAACAACTTCAGATACGAGGTCCTCTATTACTATACAAATACTTCGGAAGTTACTGCTCGGATTTTAGTACAATTTTGACACAAGGGTACTGCAGTTACAGAACAGCTTAAATGCTTTCTCCAATAGTGGTGCAGGGGCAGGCTGTGGGGCGAGTAAAAGGGGAAATATTGAGAACGCCAACAAACTTAATATTTCGAATGAATGAATTTTCATACTTTTGTTGTCACTGGCTCGTTCTAATCAGTTCATGTTCATGTATTTTTGTGAAACTATTCTTACTTACTTAACATTGACACAAGTCGTACAGAATGACGAGAGAATTGCATAATAAGCACATCTGAATATACATTATACAGGGTGTCCCGAAAGTTGTGACTTTCCTTTTCAGAAACAACTTCGTTTGTAACAACTAAATAAATAAATGAAAAAGCACTCACCGTTCATCGAAAAGAAAATTCAAGTACATCTCTGTCACTTGTAAGTATGTTCAGCGCTGCTTGCGATAAATTCAAAGACACATGTATCTGCTCGACGCAAACATCAGTGTAGGCTTTTAGAATGGTCTGCCTTTCTCGAATAAATTCTGCAGATTGCTAAGTTCGCACGCATAGCTCGACAACCGTGTTTACCTCAGTACACTAAGCATTTAATTTCGCCCCTCCCCCCAAAAAAAATAAATAATGAAGGATCTCGAATAACGATCTGCATGCACTCAGGAAGCTTCGGTAGCATTTTCAAGACACCCACCGCCTGAACCACCGCCTGAATTGAGTACCGATCCCATCTTACGTGTTCACGTTTGATGTGATCGAGGTCAGGACCGGATCGGCCTTTGTTAGGGTTTGATTTATTTTACGGAGCCAACATCTCGGTAATCGGTGTATATGTTGCTAGAAAAACAAAAGCTCATCTTTCCAAAATCTATGCGCTGTGTAAAGTCCCAACTTTGAGGACGTCCTGTAGTATCTTGTTGATGTATTGTGCCTCAAGTCTCTTATCTCTGGCGAACCGATCGTTTTACTAAATTATCTGCTTATTTGCAACTAGCAAGTTCTGACTATCAGAGACTATCAAATAGACATCCATACAAACTAATGATACGATCTTCTCTTACGACGATCAGCTCTGATGTGGTCTACTGTAAATTATTGTTCTGGACTATTCAAAATTCCTTATTGGAAACAGCCGATAAGTCTGAGTACGTAGTATACGTCGATTTACCGTCACTTGACATGACTTATCTGGCGGCGTTTGGATATTACTATACACTGAGGAAATTGCCTGAGTGTAGTTGTTATGCTTTGATCTTGGCTACATCAAAGATCACTGTATGGAGATCATGGCTGGTCTTATCGAATTTTTTTGTCGCTAACTAAATTAGGCTATGGTACTTACGACCCCATGAATGTTCTTCCCGTATTAATAAAATGTCCTGTAAGGTCTGCACCTGAATTCCTTTGTTGAAGCAGTTGATCATAAATTTAGTATGGCCTGTCAAGTGCCTTTCAATACATTCTGAATGAGCAAATTATTACATGTTTTAATATTTCAGCAATAAGTTAGAGAAGTTGGAGAAAGTACGAAAGCAGGGGAGTAGCGCACACAGTTAAAGAGTCCCTCCATAAATCACAATTAAATAAAGTGGGGTGGCGAGCAAAGAAACTGGTTCAAATTTACTCTGTGCATTTCGTAACGGTCCACTTGGAAAGGCCTGCTTTGCTGTATTGTTAGCGGTGACAGATTTGTAGGCGAGGGTATACACGATTTGCTTCTATTCTACCGCAGTTGTGAAAAGGATTTATATTTTGGAAGGGATACCTACAACTCCATCGGTGCACCTTTTATGTAAACGTCACCCTTGCCTGCGAATTTTTAGTATTAGACACGCGTCACTGTTTGCTCAAATAAACTGACATCTCTTTGTTATACACTACTATTCGTCATTTTTTTGTCTGAGCGGTCCGTAGGACCTTTGCCCATTAGTCACTATCTAATGTATGTTAGTCGAATCTGTCAGTCCTGGTTGCCCAGAAACCAGACAATGTCAAGAAAAAAAAGGAAGGTAAAGACAAGAAAAAATGAGAAAAGCAAAGAAAAACAGAAGTGTTTAGTTTAAGAGGAAACACCTAGGCTTTTTGACTTGGTACACGGATTAATTTTGAGGAGAACTAAACAAATTTTGATTCGGTTTCGTTAGAGTCTAATTTTAAGTTAACTAAAAGTTCGCGCTAATTTTATATTACAGTGCGAGCCGTGGCCTTGAATGCTTACGAACTTGCTCCACTATGTGACACACTTTTCCTTTCTATGCCAAAACTGGCGGGGAAGTATTGTAATCCCCAAAAATTTCGAAATTGGGTGATATTATGTTTTTTGGATATTATACGACATGTACGTCACAAAAAACCATGTCACTCATTCCTGTCTGTCTGTCGATCGGTATGTCTACTAATATTATAACCGCCAATAACTTGAGAAGTATCGCTCGAGTGTTGATGAAGTTTTCGCACAAAGTGACTACTATGCCAATGATGAAAAAATTCTATAGTTTTTACAAATCGGTCTAGTGGTGCTGGAGCTAG